CTCTCTCTCTCTCTCTCTCTCTCTCTCTCTCTCTCTCTCTCTCTCTCTCTCTCTCTCTCTCTTTCTCTCTCCTTCTCTTATTTCCTTCTCATTTTATTATCATAATTTTATATATCTATCAGTTATCGTGTATTCAGTAGAATATCCAAAATCTTCGAAAAACCGATACATCCTTGCAACAATACGTACATACACACACACATACACACTCTCTCTTTCTCTCTCGCTAAATAACAAGTACTTAAATCCACGTGGCGAGTGGCATTTAGTCCTTTTTGATAATTTTGCTTGTCTATGCAATAGGCTCATCACGGATATACCTCGGATACGCGACTCGTACTGCCGAATTGAGCTACTAAGTTTCCCCTTCACGCACCAGCAGGGATTTCCCCGCGCGACTTTCATACGTCGACGTGACTGTTGGCGAACGGGACGGCAGGGAATGAGACGCTCGCCCGCCTTCAGTTCGTCTTGCTCTTGCGATGATAGCGATGGTGGTACAGATGATGCTGTCTCAGTTGGGAGCGCGTCTCCTGCACGGCCGCCACCAAGGTGCGCACCGCCTCCTCGTGACCTTCGAAGCTGTCCGCTTTCTTGAGCTGGCCGAGAGACGACGCCGTCCCTGCCTCTCCGCCACCGCCGCGCTTGGTTTTGGGTCTCGGGAAGGTTTCCCAGGAACGTTGTTTCTGCACGAGAGACGACCTCGGTGTCGGTCCGATCAGAACGAACAGTGTTTTCCGGGGGTCCTGCGCGGGTTGTTGCTTTTGACCTACCGTCCCGTCGGCGATGCTCGATCTCCTGCTATTGCCGGAGCCGGTCGTGCTCAGGCTGTCGCAGCTGGCGCGTCGGCGTCGCCTCGCGTCGCTCGCTGCCTTCTCGTCGGCGTAGAACAGCTCCTCGGAGTCGCTCACCGGATAGGTCTTGGTGGGCTTGGGGATCGGCTGCTCGTCCACCGGCACCGCGTGCACCTGCGCCTGCACGCGCTTCTTCGCCTCGCCCATGCTCGAAGCTTCCGAGATTCGTTGGTACTCGCCCTCGTCCCCTGTGGGAAGCACGGATATCTTTTTAAGAAGAAGAAGACCATCTTTCACTTAGTGCGGTGGGCAGCGATCGCGCGTTGCTGAAAACTCGCTACGGCCGGTGGTGACATTGCGACGAGGCAGCCGAGAGAGAGAGCAAGTGTGTGCCGTATCGTATCGCTCCGATAGATTTATCAGCGCTTGCAGTCGAGAATAGATTTGGGGGGCGCGCGTCGTATGACGACCACGGGGCGAGAGACGTATCGGAGCACCCCCGAGAGACGGTAGATGTACGTGTGTGTGTGTGTGTGGCCATCTCGTATATCTTTTATTACTCGGTATATGTATTTACACGTTGTACATGTACAATATATACATATAGGCGTGTGCAGCGGACAGTGGAGTAACTCGAAGGTGTTTGGCGCGTCGGCGCGGCGGCGTCGTATATCGATGCCTAACGCCTCTAAAACCTGAAACCCGGGCTGTGTGTATCGCTACTACCACTACTACGAAAGGCGGACCTGCGTAGGCTGTGATCGGCTTGGTGTTCGCTCTCTCGCACGATCATCGTTTCTTACCGATGTGAGACTGCGGTTGCTGAGAATCGGCGGTACACCTGTCCGCCTGATCGAGGGCCTCGGCGGAGGTGTCGCCGGTGCCGCCTTTCAACGAGCGATACAGCGAACGCATTTTGCTGCCGGTCGAGTGGCCGGGCGGCGTTTTCGGCTTTGTGCTGTCCGGTGACTTCCGCGACCGTCTGCTCTGGCTGCGATCGCGACCATCCTCCCTGCCCGGTGATTTCTTGCGATCGTCCTTCGCCCGCGCCTTCTCGATCAGCTGGCTGAGCACGCCTTTCTTCGGGTCGGTTTTGGTCGCGCCGTACACCATTATGTTGCCGCTCGTGTCCAGGACGGCGCTGACGCCGCTGGATGGTGTGCGACATCGCGTCGGGATCTCCTTCGTTTCTGCGGGAACGTACGCGACAAGTTCACGGGTAAATACGCTTTGTGCTACGCGACGCAAACTTATATGTCTAAATGTTCATTAAATTATCATCGCCACTCCTTGCCTCTCTCTCTCTCTCTCTCTCTCTCTCTCTCTCTCTCTCTCTCTCTCTTTTTTTCTCTCACCCTTCATGTATAGCGCGTTGTCGGCACTCGTGGCAGTACTGCGTGAATGACGGTGATCCTTCGTGGGCGCCTGAGTCGCCGGGTGAGGTGGCTCTTGCATCTGCAAGCGCGCCAGGTGATCCAAGAGCGCTTGCAGATGCTGATTGTCGGCCACGTCCGACGCGGCCATGCTCACTTCTCCAGCGCTCACGCCCGTGGAGAATGATTTGACGAAAGGCTCCAGTTGCTGGGCGAGCGTCTGCAGCTTCTTCACCTCGCTCCTCAGCGACAGTATGTCGTTCATCTGCACGACAAACAACAGCGAAGCGGTTTGAGAGATCAAGAGAAATCGCGTCGAGAAGTCGAGAGTGCGACGCGACGCAGGATACTCACCTGCGAATGAAAGATCTCCTTCTCTATGTGAATCCTGCACGCCTGCTCCTCCCACAGCGCGTCGAATACATTTCTAAGCCGCTCGAGTTCTATTTGATGATGCTCCAATTGTTGTTCCAGCACGCGGCAGTCTTTCGCCACGAGATCGTAACGCGTGCCCAACGGCGGTGTGTTCGCTCTTCTCAGGAGAGCGACGTCCCGATGCAGTTCCCCCAGTCGCTCTTTCACCGTCAGCAGCTGTTGACTCAGTTCCTTCAGCTGCGTATCAAAGGTACGACAGTGATTGGAGAACGAACCGCCGTCGGGTCCGGTCTTCGGCGGTAGCCTCTGAGCAGTCTTGCTGCTCTGTTGGGGAAATATATTCCTGACGTAAAGCGTGAATGACGGTCGCGACGGTCGTATAACACGTGTACAACAACGACCGCGTTACGCTCGTTACGTATCAGTAATGAACTGTCAATCATCGACTACGATTGTCTAATGATCTAAATTGCGGACGAAATTCGGTCCCGCTTCGATCAGCCGATCGCGCTGCTACATGTACAAGGAGAATCTCCTCTACTCTGGCGCTACCCAGCTACCAATCATACGCAATCAGTACAAGCCACATCATATCGAACATAGTGAACCTGTGAACCAACGTACTTACGCGGAAGCGTGCGCGAGAAATGCGGTGAAAAGGAAACTCGTAATGTGAAAGTAAAGACGATCATGAAGAGGACGATCGAGAGATGGTCTCTTCGCGCGCGCATCGTCGTACCTGAAGCACCTGCGGCTCCGACTGGCCGATCGTGTGATCGTACAAGGACTCCTTGAGCGACTGCGTCTGGCCTATGAAGGGCTGCAGGGCGCGTGCAAAGTCGATTCTGTAATTCGTTTTGATGTGAGCGCCGAGTAGAGGCGGTCGCGAGGGATGACCCAGCTGGGCGACGCGACCCAGTCGCTCCAGCATCGGATGGGCCAGTTCTAGAAACTGATATTTCGTCGCGCCACTCGTGAAGGCGGTGCACAACATCAAGTGCATCTGTAGTACGGGAAGCGCGCTACCTAGCGAGATCAACTGCGAGCGGACCATTCGCTCTTTGGTCTCGAATTGACGTTGCATCTCCGTGACCACGGACGCGTGCGTCTTCGTGATCACCTCCTGCATCCCCTGGCAGTACCCGCTCAGCGAACGTTTCTCGGACTCCAGATTATGGCGCAACTCGTCCAGCTGGGACTTGAGCGCCAGCACGCCGTCCCGTATACCGGCCTGAAGCTCGCAAATGGAATTGACTGCCCTCTCCATCTTCTTCGAGGTTTGCTGCCAGGCACTTTCTATGTCCACGCAGTGCACCCGCGCGTCCGAGGGCGTGTCGCGGAAACACGTGGCGCACAACATGCATTTGGCACTCTGGCTGAACATGATGTACTGCTCCCCGTGGATCGGACAGCGACGCTGTGTGTCCTTGGCGCACTTGCTCATGTGCACCACCTCGTGGGAGGAGAACATCTTCGCCCGATGGGTGTGTTCTCTGCAGTGGGTACAAAGCGCTTGGCCTGTAAAAGTATGTAATATGCGCGTTTCTCTCTCGTGTCCGATCTTTAACATAGAGTCGAATTTGCTCTCTATTTTTTTTGAGAAACGTACCGCACGTAGTGCAGAAGAACATGGTCGATTTGTCGCGCTTGTCGCAGTTGGCACATGGTGGATTCTCGGAGTTTGCCAGCTCTACCAATTGACGCATCAGCTGATCGGGCGGTGGTAGTTGCGCACCTTCCTTCAACTGTGTCTGTTGCCTGTGTTGCGTTTTAGAATTGTACTTTAGTATGACGCGCGAGATACTTTCGTACTGCGAGCACGAGAGCGCAATGATACGTGAAAATACGCACCGAAAGGGCGTAACGACGACGCGACAATGCGACGGCAAGGGAACGCACACTTATCGCGGATCGAAGGAACCAGACGAATAAGTGTAAACAATAGACAAAGCAATGGAAGAACCGCGTGCTCCAGTCCAGAGCGTCTCGTCGCTCAGCCCAGCAAACCGAATCCTCCACTGAATGTTCCTCGGCATTTGACGAAAAAATAAGCAGCTATTTACCCGCAGATAGGGCAGGAGACCTTCCCGTCGATGTGAGGGCCGTGTATGCAACGGGCACAGAAGGTGTGGAAGCAGGAGAGCAGGCAGGGCTCGTTGTAATATTCGTGGCAGACGCCGCAGGTGAGGGGATTCCTGAGTCCGCCGCCCGGCACGCCCGTCGTGCCGTCGTCGCCGACCCCGTCGCCGACCGCCGAGCCCGAGCTCGCCATCATCGAGCCGCAGCGACCTCGGCCTCGGCCACCCTGAGTACTGTGATCCCGGGCTAACCCGCTTTCACGACACCGCTCCTCCCTGCCACTCCATACTCGTGTCCCTCTGCAACAGAACGGACGCGTATACTCAGTTTGAACGCGACTACGAGACTAGGACGGACGCGCGGAACGATTGACGATGAGCGATTATTAGCAACGGTCGACGATGAACGCGAAGGAAAATTCACTCGGCGACGACACGACACGGATTCGGGACGATGTTTACCCCTAGACCGTTGGCCCGCCCGCCGCCTGCCTGCCGCAGAGAGAGAGCGCGTCCCGACGAGAGGGAGGTTTATCGGCTCGCTCGGCCCGTCATTCTGACGTAGCGCGGTAACCAACCCCTTTGCGCAACTGACGATCAGCACTGACGTCACCGAAGCACCCACCGATCTCACCCTCACGCCCCGCTCACGCTTGCACCCACACGACGGCGCCGTGAGGCTTGCGCGTAAGTGTGAACGCGCGCGTACACACGCGTACGTACGTAGAGAGATACGTGTAGAGATTCGTTGCGCGCGGGCGCGCATGGCCGACCCGGCTCCAACGCTTTCACCCTCGCTCGCCCGTCGCTCGTCGTCTCATTCCCGCCCCATTGCGCAACCAGCACTCTCGCGCGCGTGCACGTATTTACGCGTACACACACACACACACACACACACACACACACACGAACGGCGGACGGAAAGTCGGGTATTGGTGCAGGAGAGGATGCAGGCGAACGGGGCCGCGGACGGGGCGGAGGACGGCCCTCTAAAACGTGAGAAGAAGAAAAAACACATTAATCGCGTAATTCCTCGCCGAAGGCGTTTCTCTCTTTCCTTTTACCTAGACACAGTTTTGCTCGGTGTCGTCGCAGCGTCGTCGCGTCCGTTCTCTCCTCAGCACCGGCCGAGACTCATCCCCTCCGTCCTGCTATCCTCCGCGCGAGGGAGAATCTCCGAAATGAACTATATATAGTAGAATTAAGGTACACTGAGCATCGAGGGCGAGCAGTTTGGCCGTTGCGAGAAGTCGTCTTCCGATAAGCAATATTCCCGCACGTCAGAGATTCTTCTAATTCCCTCTCAAAGACGTGTCGCGTCTGTCGGAGGCGATCTCTAATTCCTTCAGCTTGCGCCGCGGACCGTTCCTCGAGAGAAACAGGGATTTTAGGCACTGCAAGAAAAATAAATGCAACAAGAGCGTACGTTGGAGGTTGGAGGTATACGTTGGAATAATTTATCGATGAAGTCGGTTCGGCGAATTCTCTCATCGCAGGTCGCGGAACTCGATCGATCCCTGCGATAAGACACGATCATCGAGCGCGCACCGACCTGTTTATATTCAAAAGTTGATTTCGCGGTCACGTAAATTATTTATATGCAAGAAATCAGTTAAGGTGGATAAAGTGAATTACCAATTCTTATATTTTAAGACCAAGACAATAAGTGTATCCAGGTAGATGTATGGCCATTGATACTTTTACCTTAAATGACTAGTAAACATTGTATCGTATGTTTCGCACTTGATCAATATAGACGACAAAGGCAGCGTTTCTACCTGAACTATTTGTGAAATTTGGCACAAGAAAATTTCTCTCTGTGGCGCCCATCCAGATTAATGCCAGTCACACTTCTTATAAAAGAGATTCTGGTAGGTAAGAAAGACCAGCGATGAGTATGTGTAACGCTGACACCCACCTAAATTTGCTTGCAGATATTGCTAGAATGCTGCTGCTGCAAATTCTACGTGCCGCGGACTATCTCCTAGCAGACACAAGAAATAACGATGAGAATTTTACTGCGACATATTTTAATGAAATATTTTATTAAAATACTTTGATATTTTAACCGTGACGTTTATAATTCTATTTGGATTAGCGAAATATTTGTCCAAGTGAGTATTCGCCGGTCAAGCGCGTTTTAAAGCTTCTAGGTACATGCATAGGCGATCCTTGTTTGATGACGTCAGAAGCGAGAAATTGCACGCTCACGATTCTTACGTAACAAAAAGATATATTCATATAGCAACACTTGTAATCGATTCAGCAAATTTATAAAATGCTCCGAACACTTTTGCTGTTATAATCAATCAAATAGTTATAAAATTAACATAACCCGAAATGATGACAAGTCTGAGTTGCATGTCACTAATTTTACAGCTGTTTATTGATTTTAACAGCAAGAGGAGAACATTCGGAGCATTTTACAAATTTGCTGGATCGATCACAGATGTCGTTTTATGGATATATCTTTTGATCTCCACGTATAACGCAAGAATCATGGGCATGCGATTTCTCGCTTCTGACGTCATCAAACAAAGACAGCCGACCCTAATACCGCCAGCAGTGCGATTCTGTAACTCATTAACCGTTAATTCAGAAAAAAACATGAAAATGTCACGGCTCTAAATATTAAACAAAATGAACGATATTATAAAAGATATTATAAAAAGCCAGAAACGCAGATGTTACATGCTTATAATTTAAACCATGCGTTTATAATTACATAAGCGTGTAACATCTGCATCTCTGGCTCTTTATCGTCCCATTATAATATCGTTTATTTCGTTAACTGTTAACGAGTTACGTCGTTAACGTTGCGCGAGTACAGCGTATTCCACACAGCATAGAAGTCTCAAAAAGGTTTCAGAAACATTGAACCTTTCTGAGATCTTCCTGAAATCTTTCTGAAAGCTTTTCGAAACTTCTGTGCTGTGTGGGGTACTAGAAAAGACGCGCAACGACACACAGTGTTAGTGCAATTCTCGTTAACGGCAGTTAACGAGTTACAGAATCGCCGGGGCCTTAATTATTACGCGCGAAATCGCGATCGTCGGCTATTTTTTGCCCGCGCTCGTTAAATTATGCGCCCAGCGAGCCGAGGCACGGCCCGTTCGGGTGTAAACGAATCGGCTGGGCGCCGATTCTACGAATCCCCGGCGAGATCTCCCGCTCTCGGCTCAATGTACTTTTCAGCTTGACCCGGTGTGCACGTAGACGCACCAGCCGCAGGAAGCGGCCGCTCCACAAATGCATCGCCGCAGAATGGATCGAGCTGCGATCGTGTCCTCTCGTTTTCCGCATCGCGTCCGTCCCCGTCCTCCCATTTCCTATCCAAATCTCAATTATCCAATTAAAGGGACTCGATATTCCGCCGTCTACGTGTCACTGCTCCTCGCCGATATTTCTCGTCTTGCATCCCCCGCGATGCCGCGAGATCTTGCAGTCGTGTCGATCTCGCGAGTAAGACTCACTCTTTCTTGTTTATCTCGGAAATAATAAAAAATAACAAGAAATAGGAAGAAATAATAACAAGTTCTCTTTTCTTTTTGTTAAAGATCCAGATAGCACAGAGAATTCAAAATCATCTGTGCTATTTGGGTTGTTAAAGACGCCTCTTGAGAGACGGTGAGAATATTTCGAACCTGCCAATTTGCCAATTTCATCCGCCGACTTCCCCGTAGTCGCGGAGAGATTTGGGTTTTTGCCGGAAATACAATTCCTCCTACATGGCCGCGCCTCCACAAGAACCCGAACTTCCGAGCTTTCCGATTTCGTTGTGAAAGCCGCTATTCATCGGCTCATGGCGGTCGATTCCTCATGCGTCCATTGTCAGCGTCTCGCGCCTTTTTAACCGGCTGCATTTGCGGCCGCCTTTTTCCATCTTTTATGCCCTCGCTGCACACGTTGTATAACTATGTACACGACATCGCCATTATCAGCGTCCCAGAAATCCATCGGATCTTCGATTCGTGTGTTGGTTGAAAAAAGAAACGCAGGAAAGTCAGCGAGCCTTTGGTGACGAGAAACAACGTGTGTGAATATAATTCTCGGTCTCAAAATACGAATTGTAACAGGCTTTCTACACAATAAGTCTTAAAAATGATCGACTGCGTTTGGTCAATCTACTCGCGGCTTTCTGACTAATGATTTGTGTGGGAAGCCGGCACAAATTTTAAATTTCAAATGCACGGCTATTTACAGCTCGCGATTGGCCAAGTTTTAAACGCCACAGGCAGAAAATGCGGTTCGTCCAGCGAGCGCGTATTACCTGTAAGTTAAAGCAATGTATCTTCATCCATATTGGGTATCGCGAGTCTTCTCGTTTCATCGATTTCGAAGACATTGGCGCATTAAGACGCGTTCAGAGAAGTGCGTCGTCTCCTGTAAGTACTCTTCGTTTGGACGGATCAACGTTTTGATATGCGAGCTCTCCTGCCAACACCTTCCATAACCTTCCACAGTTCAATGGCATCTTACGCAAGTGACGCATGCGCGTGCAGCTCAGCTCAGTCGCGTACACACCTCGCCGCAATGTGAGGTGTCGTTGGGCTCCACCTGAAAAGCAGATACGGGAAAAGAGGGAAGAAAAGTTATGGTGAACGTAGGAAGAGGTAAAGAGAACACTCTAGAGGATGAAGAACAGAAGAAATAAGAAGTAGGAGTCGAATAAAATAGAATTTTACACGTGGCTTTCGACAAGCGCCCTACCTTCTGCCTAGGCACGAGTATGGCGGCCCAATCACGTGACAGTGACGCATTCATGCGTGCGCACCAAGTGCCATCTGGTGAGGGAAGCCTTTGCCTCTCGCCGTAGGTGGCTGCCCGCCATTATTTACAGTTAGAAGGCGCGAGGCACGTGAGAATCGATAGTTCGCTTGTTGCGTCCTGTATGTTTGATAGTGTTAATATCTGTTTTCACCGCACTCAAGCATAAAAATGCCGTCACGTGGAGAAGACATTCTCAAGGGCTTTCAGGTGTATCCTTTTTATTGACTGATTTAATCGCGGTTCCGTCCGCAACCCAGCGATGGTTTGTAGGTTAGGATTGTGCGTAAGTGTACAATCCGACTGTGACAATGTTGACGTTAGCCAACGTTATACGACAGTGTTGTGTAGAGTATTCCTTCTTAATTGAGATTCACATAGTAATTGGATGAACCTGCGAGATGCCGATAACGGGAAGATCCTCTGGCAGGGCAACGAAGACTTGTGAGTAGTTTTACTTCGTCGCAAATTTACGTGTTCTCTCCTAACGCCGGGCGCGCTTTTAACCGTTTGTAACTGCAGATCTGTACCCGACGTGGAGCACGAGGCACGTGTGCCGAAGAAGATCTTGCGATGCCGCGCGGTATCGAGAGAGATCAACTTCAGCTCCTCGGAACCGATGGAGAGGTTTCGCCTGGAACAGAAAGTATTGTTCAAAGGCCGTTGCTTAGAAGAGTGGTTCTTCGAGTTCGGATTCGTTATTCCCAATAGCACCAACACATGGCAGAGTTTAATTCAAGCTGCTCCAGAAAGTCAAATGATGCCAGCTAATGTATTGAAGTGAGTAGACACGATGAATCTTTGAAATTAGATTTTAACCTCTCCGAAGAGTTAAATCAATCAACTTAGAAAAACTGACACTTTTTTGCTGTATGAGTCTCTATGTTGACTTTTTCATTTAAACCACTTATTTTGAGTCCAATATAAGATGTAATTAGGAAATGCTTTCATAATTGTTATGAAATATATCCAGATAACACAGAGAATTCAAAAAGAATTCAGTCATATGTCACAATTCTGAATTCATTTTCAGATGCAAAAAGAATTCACTGAACTGAATTCTTCTTGCATTTAAAAATGAACTTAGAATTGGTGACATGCTATTGAATTCTTTTTGACTTCTCTGTGCTATCTGGGATAAGTGTGTTCTGTCTCAAAGAACTCCTTAAATTGGTATAAATTGCAATAGGTTAAAGTGAAACAAGTATATTCTGTTTCATTCTAACTCATCGTACACATTAGTGTATACTAATTCAAGAAGTTCTTCAGAAAAGAACAGATCTATTGTTAATTTGGCTTATAATATGACAACATGTCATGTGAACCAGTGTCAGTAGCATGTAAAGTTAGTCTGCCATAAAATGTATTAAACAACAAAATCATGTGTTTTGATAATCAAGAAATTTACAAGAATTAAAGTTTGTCAGTTTGACTTCTGAGAGGTTCATTTATCAAATAATTGGATACACACACACACGTGTACGTATATTTATTTAATTTTTTTTTTTTTATGAACAGTGGCAACGTTGTGATAGAAACGAAATTCTTCGACGATGATCTCTTAGTGTCTACTAGTCGAGTCCGTCTCTTCTACGTTTAAGGCATCTAATTTTCTCTTCTACGTTTAAAGCATCTAATTTTCGAATGGTCCTCATGTTTATATATACACGTACATGTGTGTATTAACGGGACCAATCACAGCGTGAAATGTTGTCAATGTACAAAATAAGAGAACACACATCGCCAGGTTCTCTCACGGACGTATCAATTTTTATCTCTTCTTTTACTCTATTTCCTACATTTATTACTTCTTACGTTCATATATATACATATATTGAGTAAGGCGCCAACGATCTCATAATTCTATAATAACCTACACGCAGTTGTGTGAATTCGAGCACACCGAATTACGAAATTGTTTTCGCAGCATTTTCGCTTGCGTAAGGCCTACTGTATACTTAGATAATAAATAGCGTATTTTTCACTGTTGGAGATACAAGATTCACCTTGTTAACACACGCGAGTATTTTATTTATTACATATTTATTACGTATTTACTGAATAAATATAAGAGATTTTTTGTATATATTGTGATACACTACACCACACGAGCAATAAAGTTGACAAAGTTCAATTCTCTGCGTGCCTTATTCTGATGATCTGTCGCTATCGTTTCGTTCCTATGATAAATAGTGCGATTTTTACAATTCTACAATTGTCTCACTCATTACTTTGCACCTTCCCAGCGCGTGCACAGCTATCGAGTCGTGCCGGGATCGTCTACCGCTGTGCGGATGTACCAGCTGCGAAATCATTAACTTGCGAGCGAATCGTCGTTGAGGAGCGCGTGTGTCCGGAGGCAGAGAGAGAGAAAGAAGCCTGCAACTTTTTTTCGCCGCGCGCTATCGATTCGCGGTGTACAAGCAACATTTTTTAGGCTTCACTACCCCCCTTGAGAGAGAGCTCACACGTTGAGTACGCTCTGTTCCCCATCCTATCTACGTCGTGCAGGTGTAAGGGCAAAAAAGCGTAGAAAACAGCGGAAGGAAACGTCGGAGTTGCCGCATGCGGTCTGCTCGAATGTGAAAGCAAGCGTTCTTGTCGTCGTCGCCGTTCGACATTGGTGCACCACGTGTGTCGCGCCGATTAATTGGATTATAACTCGCCCCTAACTTGATATCGGTCGCTTCACCCTCGGCGGGCCAACTCACGCAGCATGAATCTGAACGAGGAGGACGAGAGCGCTAACGAGAGCACCAGGCAGCTGTTCCTGGTCGGTGGCGCGGCACCGCGCGATCCACTGGTGTCGACCGGCGCGATCGTAGCGTCCGCGGGTGTTCCCGACGACATCGGCCAGGGTGACGATCTGCAGTCGACTGCCTTGGCTGGCCTGATCGGCGCGCAATCCAGCTCGGTCTGCTTCCCGACGAAATTCAGTGAGTACACAACACACACACACACACACACTGACTGGCTGTCTGGCTGGCCATAGTCGGGCCCGGAGCCTGATTGATTTAATTAACCGTCTCTCTTTCTCTTTCTCTCTTTGTCTGCCGACCCTGCCCGACACACTCGTCTACCCTAAGTAGTTGGGGTGGTGCTGCTCAATTAAGTTATTGCTAAATGCATTGAGCGGATCGCCGACCTTTTTTTTCTTAAATAGAGTTAGCGGTAATCAGTTTAGCCAGTTATGAGGCGTTTGCCGCCTGCTTGGTGCGTGACGAGATACCACCAGAAATCTGATCGAAGGTGTCGCGTATTGAATACTCTCCGTCTGAAGGTGCCTATTGATGCATTGCTGGTGTCTTTGTAACGTCCTAGACTTGATGAGGATGAGGACTGACGTTCACAGCGAGGCAGTCCTACCTATCTGTCTTGTTCATCATAGATCGGTCATATACAGGTCCGATAAACGATAAGCTGTCTCCTCTTGTAGCGTACGACTTCTCGACCAGCCCTGAGAGCGAAGATAGACCGTCCTGCGTGATCGGCAAGAGGAAGCAGCGCAGGTACCGCACCACGTTCTCCAACTTCCAGCTGGAGGAGTTGGAGCGCGCCTTCCAGAAGACGCACTATCCTGATGTGTTCTTCCGTGAGGAGCTCGCAGTTCGTATCCAATTGACGGAAGCTAGAGTGCAAGTAATGTCTGCATATTTCTCTTGTCATATGTGCACACTCAACACATTCGGGAAATGTCTAATTGGAAGCATTTACGTGACTGTACTTTGCCTCTCGAACGGGAAACAGGTCTGGTTTCAAAACAGAAGGGCGAAATGGCGCAAGCAAGAGAAGCAGTGTAAGATCGCGACTCACATGACGTCGCATTTGCCACCGTCAGACTGCCAGGAGGTGGAGGTGCAGCAGCAGCAGCAGCAGCAACAACAGCAGCACCAGTCGCAGCAACCGGATCACTTGCTGCTGGAGTCACCGTGCAGTCCTCCTCCGATCTATCTCGGCATGGAGTGGGCGGGCTTCTCTCCGTATAACAACACAGACAGCACGTCCTCTCTTATCGCGAGCAACATGAACAAACCGTCGGAAGCAGAAGTCGACAACAGTCCTCTGCTCGATCCGGAATTACTACAATTGAAATCGCCACGTTCCTAATAATGTTAAGAACAAACATATAGATACACAGCATGATGCTAGGTTTCTCGGAAGAGTTACACGCGTAACATACACGTGTACCTCCTAAACGTAGTATAAAATAACATGCAATAACTGTAATTGAAAAATATCGTACACTGCAAAGTATGAAAGTTTAAGAAATGTTTACCTCGTAAACGATGAGATGTATTTTGAGGGATAAGAAACACTGAGACTTTTATATTTAAGACTCCTGGCTCCTCACTATGAAACTCTTGATTGATGACGTGAGAAACGAGAAAAGATACGTTGAAATAAAGATACATTCATGAAGTGATACTTGCAACCGATCAAGGAAACTTGTAAAATAGTCCGAACATTCTCTTTTTGTTCGAACAATAACTGTAAAAAATTATTATGTATGCAACCTTGCTCTTTAATGCCTTCTGCTTTTTCTCAGAATTCTGTCGCATTAATTTTACAGCTATTTATTGATTGTTAGAATAAAAGGAAGATATTCAGACCATTTTAAGAGTCTGCTCGGTCGATTGCAAGTATCATTTTGCAAACATATAATTTTATTTCAACGTATTTTGCAAGAATTTTTAATGTTTTTCTCTTTTGACGTCATAAATCGAGATGGTCGCGGCGAGGTACCACGAGCTTTGTAACGTCTGGTATACAGGATGTCTGACACAAGATTGTCAAAAGCAGGTATGTAAGTAGATTAGGTAAAGCTAAAAAAGAATCCCCTACCATTTTTCAAAAAACTACGTAAAGTTTCGTTTGATCTAATTTATCTGCACATGCACTTTCGACAATCTTGTGTCAAATATGCTAAGATGGCGATGTAATGTGATGTAATTTAAGAACAAATGCGGCCTTACATTATGAATGTTGCGTACGAATGGTCGGTCAAAAAAATCACGTCGTGATTGCACCCTTGAAGAATCGAGAACGGTTATATAGATTTTATAAGGAAACCATGTAGAAATATTAAGGTACTTCAGAAGAGAGTTAAATATAGATTCCACGTTTGGAGGACATAATGAATTTGTATCGTGTAAAATTACTCTGCGCAACATGTTACTCTGATATAAAATAGTAACATCATCTTTATTCAGTGTGCATATATTACAAGTCAGTAAATCAACTAAGTATTAATCGGTCCATCTAAAGAGCAAATAAGCGGCCTTCTAAGATGCTCTTCCCGATCTTTTATTATGCCATTTGAGATTCGCTTTCTGTGGAACTTTCATTGACACGGAGTCTTATTGTTTTTTTTGTCTTGCCTCTTTTCAGATTGATTATGTCGAGAAAAAAGTGTGATCGATCGCTGTAATTTTATCACTTAGCCATGGCCGATCGGAGCTTCGATATTTTCACAGCAAATTGTTTGTGGGACGCATCTCGAGTGAAATAAATTAGTGACAGATGTTAGAAGGTTACGCGACATATGAATACTCGTCCGCGCTGTTTGCTGTACGCTCAATGTATTGTTTATCTATAAGGGCTTCGATGCACTTCTTAATCATTCCGATAGAAGGCGCGAACGTGACTCTTGATTGACTCAGCACCTGAAATACGGTTAAGGATTAAAATGTAGCGTTCGGAATCACTTGCGCCTTCGAAGTGAATTCTCGAGGTCCACACCTACTTTCTTCCTGTTGACTTTCCTGTTTACGCGCCGAGCAATATAGCGCTCAGCCTCAGGACCATTAGCTTCGTAAGAGTTCTACCGAACTCTCTCAAGCTTCTCAAACATTCTACTGTTGCAATTATAAATGTGTGTTGGTATAAATAGAAACATATAATATTGTACAGAAATAAGAAACATATAGAGGACTAGTTTCACAAATTAGGGGGCATCCCGAAAGTCTTACGACCTGTCCTGAGGCTGAACGCAAATGACCATTCACAATCGCACGCTCGATAGATGAACGCGAGGAAAAAAGGAAGTAGGCGTAGTCGTCGAAAATTGTCTCCAAAATACGAGTAATTATAAACACTGAAATATCTCGGTAGTCTAAACGGAGAGAATTTTATAGTAAAGATTATTATAGAGTTTTGTAACCGAGGAATAGATCGATGTTCTCCAGTAATTAATTATTATTTCATTTTATGCGCTATTTCTTCTACCTCAGGAATTTAAATGTAAAACTACTATTGGAAATTTATTGAAATTATTAAAAAATTTATTCTGGCCATTAAGCCTTACTGATAGTCTACTCCTGCATTACAAAACTATATATATACTAAAATTGAAAAGAATTTATGTATAAAAAATCTATAATATTCTCTCCGTGTAGGTGCACGATTTGTATAACGGCAAAAAAATTGCGACACTTATTTCGACGAGTATCAAAACTCATTCGATATCTGAGAGGATCTAGCCCCTCGCATTGTCTGTATTTTTTTAATGACGTCAGAAGCGAGAAAATGCATGCTAAAAATTCTTGCGAAATACCTTGAAATAAAAATATATATCCATAAAGTAACGCTTGCAATCGATTAAACAAATGTATAAGATATTCCGTGTACTCCCTTTTTGCTCTAACGATCAAATTACAGTAATTTATTGTAAATTAATCTGAATGCGAAGAAATAGCTTAGAAGATGAAGTGTACATTAATTTACGACAAATTATTGATTATTAAAGCAAAATAGGAATGCACGGAATATCTCACAGATTTATTTAATCCATTGCAAGTGTCACTTTTATATCTTTATGTCTTTTTTCTTTATATATTTATATTTTTTTATTTCAACGTATTTCGCAAGAATTTTTAGCATGCTTCTGACGTCATTAAATAAAAAATAGACAATGCGAGGAGCTAAGAGCCTTAATTAAGAAGAATCAATAAAAAGATAAATTCTTCTATTAGATACGGATACATGGCGAAACTCGTCGAAAGAAGAGAAGCATTGCTATCTGGCACGGACTACAAAAGTGAGGAAGAAAGGGAGGGAGAGAGATAAATTTACCTCCTGTACAAGTAGATTGTGTCTCAACAGCTTGCGACTCTTCATGATGCGAACTATGGCTGCTTGCAGGTACAATTTTCTATCATCGTCCACGCTGCGATGCGTGGCCTCCGCGTCATGTGGCGCGTCTCGTTGCAGCGCGCCAGTCACACGGAACTTGGTTCTCTTATTGTAGTAATCGAAATTGAGCGTGAGGACGGTATCTTCCTCGAGTTCACCGTCCGTGGATTTCATGAGGATCTTGCAGTCGACAAGGCTTGCGGCATGTTTTACTAACTGATCGTGCGACAGACGCAAGGACGCGGCCGCTTCTCTGCACTGTATCGCGTCGCAATGCTCAAACAGGAGCAGTAACGCCATTTGGTATGTCTGCACGGTCACGAGGTACGACTTCTTCAGATAATTGAACTTTAGCTCACCCTGACACAAATGGTGAAGCCATGTGAGTTTCCGACCGCTAAACTGCGCATGATAAAACGTCTCGAAAGCTTGCACTGACTTCTCCAACTGCTGCGGTACGTGAAACGGCCCCGGAGACGGCGGCAAGCCGAGCGGCCAAGCGCCCGCCTGTAAAACGTAGACCACGAAACCGATGCCTAATTGATTCTCTCTATCACCCTCGCGCAAAGTAGTCGTGAACTTCGTGTTGAGATCCGCCGACACGGACATGTCGGTAAACATACGATGCAGTTTATTCGTGAATTCGTAGCCGCACGCTTGCTTCAGCCGATCGATCATCACTTCCTCGGCGTCCATCGACTGCGACTGCTGATGTATCAATCGTTTTGCCAGCATGCGCGCGTAGAACTTCTGGAACACGTCCTTATCATCCACGTATTTGAACACGGTGATGGAGCGCGCCAACTTCTCTTCTATTTCGCTCTCAGAAGCAGCCTTGGCAGACTTCTTCAGTAGAGAATCGCAATACTTCGCCAACTAAATAGAAACACACGCTGTTACATCGCAATTATTAACAAAGAAAGAGAGAAAGAGACATTGTGCACCGCGTGTTAGAAGTAATTACTTCTCGCTCCTGGCGAATTTAAATTTAATTTAATCTCTAGCAAATTTCATTTTAATTTCAAACGAATTTTAATTTAAGACTACATATGCGTGACGGCAAACATTTGTTATGTCCACAATTAAACTCTGTTTTACAAAATTACAGGGAAAAAAAAACGAGATTGGCTGTGGAAAGAATTCTCTAAATAGAACGTAATAACGTATTTAATTTTCACTAAAATTTTGGGAGAAATTACCAATTCGGGTGCTCGCGCCGGTTGCCTCGGCACAGGTCTGTAATTCACGATCGCGGAACAAGCTTTGTCAAGAGCACCCACAAAACTCTGATCCGCTTTGAACACATCTTTGATCAATTCTGTATACTTAGAATGTACGTCCAGTATGCTCTCCACAAATTGCGTATATACCTGAAATTCGGCAAGATTTTCTATGTTATTTTTGCGTACTTTATCACATCATAAGTCACATATTCACTGTCTGATTTAGTGACGACACTCGAGTACTCGATCACTCACATTTTCCCCTTGTAAAGGTCCGATTGCCTGTAGACCTTGCTGCGTAATGTGTTGGGTGAGCTTCTGTACAAGTGGACTTAAACCCGACGGCAAGGGCTTCAGCAGCGGATACAAGAGTGACAGATCTCGTCTGCTTTCATTTTCTATCATGATCTTAGCTTCTGTATGCAACCAACTCGCTTGCGCATTAACCATTTTATCCTCGCAGCATGCTCTCACCTGAAAAAACATCATTATCGCGTCAGCCATAGTCCTCGACGCCATTGAATCTGGAAAACTCACATACGAGGAACGCACTTTCGGCACGGAACTTGAGTGAAGATACTTATGCGCACGTAATTCCTCCTGACTAAGTCTCCACGTGACTCGTTCCATATAACGCGTGACGTCCAATTGCTGCAGCAACTCCCACGCTTCTCTCGAATAAAACTCGCCGCTCGCTTCCAAAAAGGGACCCTCGAAAATTTCTTGATACATCTGACACCGGAAAACGGGATTCAGTTTAGCAAAAACGGGTCTTCGCGAAAAGTAGAGAGCGACGGCAACGAATACAAAAAGCTTAATCGATCGTATATTACATCTAATTGTCCTTTCAACTTGTACTCTTCTACTCGCACGAAGCTTTGAATAACACCGCAAATCACGTCGGTGGTGGCGGGCTGAGCTTCCCCGTTTCTGTCAGCCTGGATACTCTCGAGCAGGAGGGAAACCAACGAGTTTCTAAGCGGGGCTATCATTTTCCTCTTCCAGATATCCAGACCTAGCTCGCCGATCTCCATCTGCTCCTGGTAGTCGACCGCCATAGAGGAAGACGCACCATAGATGAGCTCCGCCTCCGAGAGTTTTTGCTTCTTAATGTGTTGCTGATTGAGGTACAGGTATAAGCGGTGCAGATAATTAATGCCCTGCGAGTATTCTGTCCAGGCACGATGATACGCCTGGAGCAGGTCCGACTCGCCCTGGGCGCGAACCTCTGTCAATAACTGGAAGACATGGTTGTCCAGAAACCTTTTTGTCTCGTTATACAAACGGTCCGCCAGTGGCTCGGGATACGCGACGCACAGGGAGTAAACGTCACTGCAATCATAGTGAAGAAATTGAGTTTCGCCCTATTAATTAAACATTAGATTTGTTCTCTATTGTTAAACTGGCTGTACTAGCTTGCATTTACAATCACTATTCCATTGAGAAAGTCACATCAAAATTCAAATTGTTGCAAAGTTGCAATGCACAGTATTATATTCCTCATGAACAACGCAGACTAATCGCTTGAAACTACATGGAAAGAAAGTTTGACATAATTAACCAAATTTTTGAAAATTCTGGTTAAAATCATCAAAATTCTGTCACAGTTGACCAGAAATTCTGTTAACACGAACAGAATTTTTATCAGAAATTTGCTTCATTCAACCAATTGTTTTTTCAGTGTATGACTGTGTTACTATGATAAATGTTACACATTAAATTTTTCTATAATTTTAAACATATTGGTTTGAATGGGCTTTCTACATTTCATAGTACACTAGTTCGGCAATAGAAAACAGATCCCATAATTTGGAAATAAAAAGTCTCGAACCATTATTTCAATACAATTTTGTAAGAAAAATGATACCATAAAAAATTTACCATTATAAATATTACAAGTGCGTGATATTTATAATGGTAAATTTTTTATGGTATCATTTTTCTTACAAAATTGTACTAAAATAATGGTTATCTATATTACTCCTACCATAAAATTTTAGATGCAAAATTGCAATACAAAGTATTATATTTCTCATGACAACGCAGACAACAACGCAGACTAATCACATAAAATTTCAACTACTAGGAAAGAAAGTTTGATTAAATTAACTAAATTTCTGAAAATTCTGGTTGAAGTTACCAAAATTCTCTGTTCAAGTTGTGCCAGAAATCCTGTTAAGATGACCAGAATTTTCATCAGAAATTAGCTTCATTCAACCAATTGTTTTTTTAGTGTATGAGTGTTTTACTGCAACAAATGTTACATTAAATTTTTCTATAATTTTAAACACCTTAGTGGTGAATGGGCTTCCTACACTAGTTCCTATACTAGTTTAGCAATAGAGAACAGATCTCACAATTAGCAAATATTTGTTTAGACAATGATTCTGTTGAAATACCTAAATCTATCGTTCCATGTGGCTCGTGAGACATTAGCTAGTGTTATCACTCCTCTCACAGTCTCTTGCAGTACATCCCAGGTTTGAGTGAAGTCTACTTTCTTGGGTTTCAGTGACATTCTTCCCCTCAATCCACAACACACTGGCAACAATTTGATCTCAGCGTTGGTAGGCACCTTTTTCTAATATTCTATAAGTTTCTAATGATACAAAACCTGCAAAGTAACATTATTGTGAGATCCAGATTCACACTCGCGTGAAACAAACGCTTATTCGCGAATTCGACTCGTTTAAAAAGTCTCGAAATGCCAAGCTGCGAACGAGAGAGAACGGAAGGTTGTGTACTGAGAGCAAGTTCCGAGAATAATCTTCACACAGAGCGCAGACAGAGGCCGAGAGTTTACGGGGCTTTGTTCGTTCGCGTATGTTTTGTATATCATCGGTTTAAAAATAACATAAAAGTAAAATACACCACACGCGCACGAGTCTCATGGCCGCTCTAATTTTCCCCCCCGGTTCTGTCCGCACAGTGCGCGAATTTACATAGAAAGAGGACGCTCTCTTACACGCGCGAGAAAGAGAGAAAGAAAGAAAGAGAGACAGAGAGCGTGAGTCCGCTACGAAATTCCGAGCACAATTACGATCTCGAGCATACACGACGTACACAGCCAGTAAGAGTCGAGCCGTGTCGCTCGCACGTTTCTAAAGTTCAAAATTGCAGGCACATATCGGCTCAATGGCGCACACACTTTTAAGAGAGAGAGAGAGAGAGAAAGAACGTGAAAGTGCGTGCGTGCGCTCGTGCCGTACGACGTTCGACGCGCTCTCACGTTGAAGCCGCTATATCCGTATTGCGAAATATCGATTAGAGCTCACGAGAGGAGAGCGAGTGATTCTCGCGATAACCGAGCGCGACGACGACGATGACGGAGTCGCACACACGATGTCGTCACACAGGCACGCACTCCGTCGCGCGCGTGTCGCTATCAGCGAGCACCACACAGCTGACCGCTGGCTCGCCAGTGACGATCGCCAGATGGTCTTAAGCACTTAAGCACTAACCAAGAGTCACGCACGGGAGTGCCCGGATCGCTGCCGCCGCCGATGGACAGGCCGTCGTGCTGAGGAGGTCAGGGTAAATCGCCGTCGATCGTGCTCCTCAGCCACCGCAATGACGAACCGTACTGGGCCGCTTATTTTTGGGGCGGGGGCACGAGTCATTCCCTGCCACGAGATGCATGACACCCGCGATGACTCGTCGCGATCGAACGCATTTTTCGCAGTCACCGTCACCCGCTTCTGCCAGTCCCCCGTTCGTCCGTCTCGCGTTCTCTGGTCACTCTGGTCCCTGCTCGGGGTCGTCGCAACCTGACCTTCGCCGTTCGATTCGGCCACTCGAGCACAACCGATCTCCTTCTCGCCTTCCTCGCCGCTCTTCACGGGCCCTTTCCCTTCTCGGTCGCGGCACGACGTACTTCCCTCTCTCTCGCTCTCCCTCGAACGCGCAATACTCTCGCCGTGTCGACTCGTGGAATCCTCAATAACATTGTACTGCCATGTTTCGCTACTTTTTCTCGCCTTTTCCGAGTATCGTGCGAATTTGCAATTTTTGCGACATCTGCAGGCCAGTCTGCTAAAACTCCGCGGCTGTATGCGTCGGTGGTGTCGCGCTTTTATAGGATGGAAAGAGAAGAATGTACACGAAAGTTTTGTACTTTTTTTAGGATCTCCTTTTATTTATTAAAACCAAATTTTTTAAATTATAACCCTCTACGTCTATGTAGAAAAACGTAACTATAGCTCGGCGGCTCGTGACAGAGGGTGCTTTCCAGTTACAATATCCCTAGACACTTTCACACACACGGCGACACAAATTCCATTCCGATTATCGTAATCCTCAACACAACACTACACATCCGTGCTCAGCTCGGGGGCTACTAGTCGTCTGTGGGTGCTTTCCAGTTGTGTGCATACGTGTGTGTCAAGATGTGTTAAGGGACGTCTACATTGGAAGTAAATAGCAAGAAGTAGGAAGTAAGAGTAAGAAATTGACCAACCAAGTCAAATGTGAGAAGAATAATCAACTATGATTGGTCAATTTCTTATTCTTACTTCCTACTTCTTGCTATTTACTTCCAATGTGACGTCCCTTAACACAGTGTACGCAACTGGAAAGCATCCAATGACTTACCAGTGGTCGTTCACCGCGCGGTTGCTCTCTGTACCCTGGATGGCGCTCTGGATCGGCTTACATGGATCGGTATCTCCTGGACTCTCTAGATGCTGCCGATTCTGGGAACCTCATTCTGGATCGCGCGGCGGCAAGTTCGAATATTCAAGCACTTGTAGTTGACCGATGGGCACTAGGGAGGAACACCGCACGTCGCAGTTTCGCTTAAGGATAAGAGGAAATGTGCCGTGTAAGGATGTTCGAATGGGAGGGAGTAGAAATAGAATTACTACAGATTATATATATATATATAATGTATATTGTGTAGTTCTTGATATATAATCTACTCACAAAGATATCTTAAGTATGGCTAGAGTAATGTAAGTAACGAGAAATAACCAAAATGAACTATTTAACAAACTAAATAATTATGCATTAGAATAAAACGCTCGTAAATGTTTAGAAAAGTTAAGGATAATCTAAAGTTACTTGCTTAAGAATTAAAGAAAACTACTATCTAGAGTTTGACTAGTGATTTAGAGAAATGGGGTTAGAGAGGTGAGGACTACTTTTGGACTTCCGATCCCGGCACTCGACTCTGACTGACTGCAGTGCTGGGAGTTCGGGATATTTTTTAGCTGACAAGAGTCCTTCTGCGCATGCGTGAGATGACGTAGCAGCCGACGTAAGCAGTTTCCAATGACGGCGCTAGGCACGAGTAAAGCCCTATGCACAATGCTAGGCAACAGGCAATAGGAATAGACATTAGCCAATAGGAACAGGGAATAGAAATAATTGACCAATCTGATTTCCTATTCCCTGTTTCTATTGCCTGCTACCTGGCATTGTGTATAGAGCGTAAAAGATTTTTAGGGGACATACATAAAATACTCGGCTGTCTGTCTGTTGTTGTTTGTCCACGAGTGGTTAGGATTAGGTTAGATGTAGTGAAATGTTACAATAATAAATTAGCATAATTAATATAGTTATAATAACTAGTGTAGCTGTGTGTGTGAAAAAATGTGATAATATAATATGTATATATATTATATATTTATAATAAATAAAATATGATATAAAAGTGCAATTATAATATTAAGTTAATTAAAGAAAAAAGTGCCGTATTGAAAAAAGAAATAGATCAACAACAGCCTTCGTCATCAAGTGGCATCGAGGAAAAGAAGAGGAAATGTGTGAGAAGAAAATTCCAATATGCATGGTTAAATATAAATATTTTCAAAGATTGGTTGGCTGCAGAAGTTACAAAATAAAAAATATATTTATTTTTACTCATGAACAGCATTCTGTTTCTTCCCACAAACTTTCTTTTCTCCCTAAAATCCCTTCATATTTTCTTTTAGGTGAGGGACCTTACGATACCTTAAAATAGATACGGTGCTGAGGTTACCACAGTGTTTGCTCAATGGGCGTGCGCGAACTCCCAGCACTGACTGTTTCGCTTGTCACTACTCTACTTATACTGAGCTCTTGTGATCCCGCCTTTAGGAGGGGGGCCTGAATGGTAGTGATGCCATCTGAGATACCTTCCTTTTGGGAAAGGAAAGTTTCATACCTGGAGTGTCTCAAGTAAAGGATTGTTTGGATAAAAAAATTATTACTGGCTGGCGACTTGGTCGGTCGGACGCGACAATAGATTTTCAATACTGGCAGTGCATTTCGCAACGCAACCCTATTGTAAATTGGGACTAATGGCTGCATTCAGCAGAGAAAGCTGCTTTGCGACTATTGTAAAATTCGTGAATCTGATTGGTACATGCTCTTGAATACAATTCAAATTAAAAGCATATTCCAATCAGACTCACGAATTTTACAATTGCAAAACAGCTTTCTTTGCTGAATGCAGCCAATGACCAAATACTTACAGAAATAACGGATCCAAAGAGTATATTAGACCCGTTATTTTTGTAAGTTAGTTCCAAAGTCTCCGCTGCGAACCGCCACTTTCTTTAACGAAGAATCGGTACGATTAAACGAGATAGTGATGTCTATAAATGCTTTTATAGTGTTTCTAGTTAATGGTCGTGACTCGCATTTCGACGCGTCCTAGCTGCTCGTCAGGTAGACAGTGACTGTTTAGATATTGTCAATTCTCAGGCACCTACGCAAGAAAATGGTGTGTATTTGACGGTTAAAAAATACTCTTCACTAATTTTTTGGTTTATCTTCTCGAAGAGGAGTCTGCCTTTCACTTACGGTGTGCCGCAAAACTCGTCACGGCCGCCGGAGGTTATATTACTGTCAATCGTTCCCTGCGAACGACATTGCACGTCTCGTCTGAAGTGTCGTGAAAATATCATTTGATAGCAACAATTTTTGATGCTCCAGAACAGCTTCATATTTCACTGTGTCTTCTAATATATTGTTTCTCCTTTGCAGAGCATTCTCGCGTACAACGGCGGTGCCGTGATAGCCATGAAGGGTAAGAACTGCGTGGCCATAGCAGCGGATCGCAGATTCGGTATACAGGCGCAGACGATAACGTGCAATTTTCGGAAGATCTACGAGATGGGACCGTATTTGTACGTCAGTCTGCCTGGACTCGCCAGCGACACCCAGACCGTCATAGAGAGGCTACGTTTTCGCCTAAATCTTTACGAGTTGAAGGAGAACAGGAAGATCCATCCGAAAACGTTCACCGCGATGATCTCAAATCTACTGTATGAGAAGAGATTTGGACCTTACTTCGTGGAGCCCATTGTGGCTGGCTTGGATCCTGTGACGTTTGAACCGTTCATCTGCAACATGGACCTGATAGGTTCCAGAAATATGGCTGAAGATTTTGTAGTGGGTGGCACATGTACAGAGCAACTTTATGGTATGTGTGAGTCGCTCTATGAACCAGACTTGGGGCCTGACGATCTGTTCGAGACTGTCAGCCAGGCTTTAGTTAATGCATTCGATAGAGATGCGATATCTGGATGGGGTGCTGTTGTCTATATCGTGTAAGTATGACGATGAGTCAAATAATATTGATTAATAACAGAATTTTGAAGTGTTTAGGTTAATATGTTGTACATTTCACTTTCAGAGAGAAGGATAAGGTGACAAGGAGAATGATCAAGACACGAATGGATTAAATGCAATTTATGTCTTTCACATCAATATATATGGCAAGATTTTTCATAATTATTATTGTAATTAAGTCTCTAATAAATATAAGTGAAAATTTACATGAACTTTCAGCGAATTTAGAATTTTTTTCTTTCAAATACTCGTTTTTTAAATACTGTTTCAAAATAGTTATCCACCTTTTTGTCAGTATTTAATTTTTAATATAAAAAGTTTCCGTATGTATCATCTATATTTTTGTTTTATTTGAATCTTTGTAACTAGTTGATATTTAATAAATTATATTAATCACATTTAATATTATAATAATCCTAGCTGTGAGGTATACGTGTAGGTCCACAAACGAAATATTTTGTTATACACTGAAAATATCACGAACTGGAGTGATTTTAATATAAAATATCACTTTATTTATCTCAACACAGGATTTGTTTTCTGTTTCTGCACTGCTGCAATAAGTTAGAGTGAGACAAGTATAGTTTTTCTCGCTCTAACTTACTGCACCAGTTTAGCAGTGCAGGAACGAAAAACAAAGCTAAGGGCCTTGCACGTAGAAAAATTTTAACCGTAACCGTAAAGTCATAAGAAAACTGATTAATCACAGTCGATTATTCCTCGGACGCAAAGAGAATAATCAACTCTGATTGGTCAGTTTTCTTACGGTTACAGTTACAATTTTTCTAAGGCCCTAAGTTTTAGTTCCAAAGCCTCCGCTACGAGCCTCCACTGTCTTCAATGACGATTCGAAGTCCGTCAATTTGTATTCAAGGCTCGATTATTCGTGACACGATAAATAGAATACAAAAATGGAGTTCGCAGTTTAAAGGGTATTTTGAAGTAAACAAATAAGTTGATCGTTAATATGTCGATCAACACGTTATGTGCTGCATTGCGGAAATTCGCAGTCGACAGAATAAGTGAGTATACCTGGCAATTGGTACTGACATAATCGAGCATGATACACTGCATCATAACCTCTTATAAAACCTCATTTATCTCTGCTATATATGTCTTTCACTGTATGAAGATGAATAAAAATGTATTAAATAGTTATATGACTGTGAGACGTTAATACAAAATATCAGCTATCTGTATTTATTAAATTAAGCTATCTGTGCTTATTAAAAAACATTTGTGTATAGTATACATACATTGTATACAATATTCCAGGTAAAAACAAATTGATAAAATAAGCTCTAAGATCTAACAAATTAACATAGCTATAGGCTGTAACAAATCAATAAAACAAAATTAACAGATTAAAGGCCTATGAGAACCATTACATATCAAGGTAGTGTGTAACAATGATTTTAACGCATATGATATCGGGTCATGTATGTTAAGAGTCAATTAATTGTAAGATTCTGATATCATGTGCATTAAAATCATTGTGTTACACATTACCTTCATGTATGTGTTATGGCTCTAGTAGGCCTTTAATTTTGTTTTATTAATATTCCAGGTACCACCGCTGCTATTACTGTCACTGCGAGATACTACTCAACACAGCAGTCAAACTGCAACGTTTCCCGTTTTATGCGCAATGCTCACGATATACCATCAAGTGTAGTGCCAATGCATGATATCAGGTTTAAACCTGGAACCCTCAACATAGACTTTGGCATACAACCAATGAGACAACCGATACCAAACATTATCGAGATACCTGTGACAAAAATCCCTCCATTGCAGGAACCTACAAAGGATTTACCAATAGAATATGACTCTCCTGTACCACAAGTATCTGTGGATCTACCAACAGCAGGGAATATCTTTGAGAAGCTAGCAGTTCGTCTGATAGTGATTAGACGGAAGAAAATGAAGAAGCACAAGCGAAGGAAGTTGCGTAAGAAGATGAAATTCGTGTGGGCGAAAATAAGACATAGACGAAATAGAGAGAAGATCAAAATATTCAATGCTGAGATGATAGTTAAGATCAAGGAGGCCCAAGCGTTCGACGCGAGAAAGTACGTCAAGGGAAAACTGGATATCTTAAATAAGGAAATACTACCGAGGACCTACAGGGGCGAGCTCTTGCCCCCCGAGATGATCAAACAGTTCCTGGAGAAGAAAAAAGCCAAAAAGCAGGCTAGCCGTAACGTACCTCGTTTAACTCTGTAGCCCGATTTATGTACAAACTGTATCAATAAAATTTTATTCCTATGATAATTACATGTCAAGTCAATGTAAAACTCACGCACAACGAACGAAGTGTTTCGGTACAGGGAAGGGTGAGAGATTTAAAGAATATACAGACGAACTTTTAGCAATATATACGATTTACTCTCCTTGACTTTCTTATAAAAAAATATATATATGTATATACCATTCGTACTAGTTTATTCGTTAAAGGTCTATCTTAGATAACAATCGTATGTCAAGGCATCTTGCAGGTATAACACGTGATAAGTTCCATCGTCATTATTCAAAGCACAGTGTACCACTTAAGATTCTCGACGATGCGGCATCGGGGAATAGACACTGCGCGGCGTTTTCTAATAAATATACGTTCAAGAATTCTCGATTTGATTCTGATAAAATATTTCAGCCGTTCTGCCGGCATACAAGACACTGGTCATCGATTTAAAATATAATTCCTACTGTACAATTGTTCTAAAATTTTCATGCTGGCAGATATACGAACTTCCCTTCCCTACTGCAGTCGTTGCACAGTATTCCACGCACGCAAATGTCACAGTTTAATACTATGATATAATAAATAGCACCGCGGTTCGTTTCGTTTGTGCATCGTTGATCACGTTATCAAGGAATAGTTCTTCTTACTTTACCTCCGCGTGAGTGAACTTGAGAAAAATGTGCTCGGAATTCGCGGAATTTGCTACTTCGTTCAAAGAACGCTGTGAATTTCAATGTTCATGATCGACGTTATGAGAATGCTAACACTAGAAATGATTTTGCTTGTACGAAGTCGATCATTTTCCACCCCAGACAGTACAATCTATTAAAAGATGTCTTAAGGCTCCTGACCTCTCGCGTCTATTTCTTTCTTAATGAAAATGTCAGAAGTAAGAAAATGCATGCTAAAAATTATTGCAAAATAAAACATTAGTATAAAAATACATATAAAGTAACACTTGCAATCGATTAAACAAATTTGTAAGATATTCCGTGCACTCTCCTTTTGCTCTAACAATCGATAATTTATTGTAAATTAACCTGAATAGAAATAGGCGAAGAAATAGCTTAAGAAGATGAATTGTATGTCACGTTGATTTACGACAAATTATTGATTGTTAGGACAGAAGTGGAATGCATGGAATATCTTACAAATTTGTTTAATCGATTGCAAGTGTTATTTTATGGATATATATATATATATTGATTTTAACATATTTTGCAAGAATTCTTAACATGCATTTTCTCGTTTCTGACGTCATTAAAAAGAGATAAACAATACAGGAACCTTAAAGATGTCCACTAGACGTCTTATTTTTTTTAGACGTTTCTTCTTTAAAAAAAAAATGTTAATATAAAAATATATATCCATAAATACATATAAAATTACACATGCAATCGATTAAACAAATTTTAAAAGGTTTTTTAATATTTTGTGCTGTCTGAAATGGCTTTAAAAATGTATATACAATTAAACTTTCGCGAGACAAGAAAAATATATATATGTAATAATGTTCTCCTTTCATGAGTTTGTTTTAATAATATTTCGCAGCGATGGCGTGTACTCTTCTATGGCGTCTTCGTTTATACATCTCCCTTCGGAAACGTTATCGTATCTTATATATCCTACAACGTACATTTGTCACAAAACAAATGTCTAAGTCTTTTGAGTACTTTGCCCGTTTCGTAATCTCTACAAAAAGGAGATAAAACAGTTTATATATTTCACGCCTCGTTGCTCTCCGTTCTATAAGCTAAATCGCTACGAGCCAAAATGCCGCGAGTTCTCTTCTCTGCTGGCCGACGATAGGCGGCTTCGCGTAAACGGACGTAGCGATGGTCTCTTTGCGAGAGCGGGATCGGTCCTTCTGTTCACGGTAATATCTGGCCCTTCTTAATTTCTAAGACCTTTGGCTTGTTACTTGTTCTGCCAGTCGTCAAGGTACTACCTCTGCCCGAGAAGTAGTCCTCGATCTCTTGTAACGTTCTACCTTTGGTTTCCGGAAGACACATGTAGAAGTATATCGTGCCGAACAGCGAGATGCAGCCGTAGAGGATGAACGTACCGTGGCGGGTGAGCGCGCTCGCCAAGAATGGGTAAGTCTTTACTACCATGAAGACGAACGAGTGCGCTGCCATGGTGGTGAGGCCGCCGATAATGCCGCGCACTTGCACGGGATAGACCTCGCCGATCATCACCCACGGTATCACCAGGAAGCCCAATGTACAGGCCACCGTGTATGCGAATATACACATTACCGGGATCCACGTGGCGACCAACGGTAAGGCGTTCGCGGTCCAATATTCCTTCAGCCACATGTAGCCGCCCAGTCCGATCATGGAGAATCCGCAGCCGATGGAAGACACCATCGTGAGCGGCCGTCTGCCGCATTTTCTGCAGAGGATGCAAGCCGCGATCGTGGAGGTGAGCCGGACTATGCCGAGGATCACCGCTGCCAGATATTTGTTCAAGCTCGCGCCCGAATCCTTGAAGATCTCGACGGCGTAAAAGGTGATGACATTGGTGCCCGACCACTGGTAAATGAGGAAGTAGAGGAACAGCAGGGTGAACGGCTTGAGCGCGTTCGGCTTCAGTAGGGCGCACATGATCTCCCGGAAACCGGTCAGCCGCTTGATGTTGTTCTTATTCGAGAACTCTAACAGCGTCTCCATCTCCCGATTCACGTTGTAAGTACTGCCGCGGAACTTTTGCAGCGCTTTCTTCGCGTGCTCCGGCTTGCTGCGCGATATGAGGTAGGACGGCGTCTCCGGGAAGAGGAACATCAGCAGGAGGGCGGTGAGAGGTAGGATCCCGCTGATCGCGGCGCAGATGTTCCACGTAAGTACGCTGCCCAACGCGTACTCGATCAGCACTCCGGTGCTGACGCCGACGCTCGAAAGGGCGGTCAGCATCCCCCGCAGGTGCGGCTGCGTCACCTCGCTGGTGTAGACGCGAGCTGGAGCGCCCACCATGCCCGAGCCGAGGCCGACGAAGAAGCGGCCGGCGTATATCATACGTATGTCGCTGGCGAACGCGATCAACAGCCAGCCGAGAAGGGCTGGGATCTCGGTGATGATGAGCGAGCGCTTCCTACCGAACATGTCCATCATATAGCCGGACATGAGGCAGCCAATTGGTGTGCCGATGGAGGACATGCTGGCTGAAAGGGGAGAAGAAAAAATATATTTTTGCTATTGTTATTAAATAAGGGGAATATCATTTATATATTAATTTTTTCTATTATTCGTCTCAATTCTTTGAACCCTTTGCAATACACATATTTAATTCTCCATGTACTTTTGGGACATACAGTACAGTCTGGATCTGTCAGGCAACTTTCAATCAGCATAATCTTGTTAAGAATTAATATTAATATCAATATCACAAAGGATTCATGAAATTGAGACTAATAGTGTTTGATATATTGAAAACATCAATATCAAAACTTCCTCGGCCCAAACAGCACAAATATTTAAGGCTCCTGGCCTCTCTATCTCTTTTTAATGATGTCAGAAGCGAGAAAATGCACGCTAAAAATTCTTGTGAAATACGTTGAAATAAAAAGATATATCTATAAAGTGACACTTGCAATTGATTAAATAAATCTGTGAAATATTCCATGCATTCTTCTTTTGCTTTAATAATCAATAATTTGTCATAAATTAATGTGATATACATTTCATCTTCTTAACCTATTTCTTCGCATTCAGATTAATTTACAATACATTATTGTAATTTGATTGTGCAAAAAGGGGGTGCACGGAATATCTCAAAAATAACTTTAATCGATTGCAAGTGTTACTTTATAGATATATTTTTATTTCAACATATTTCGCAAGAATTTTTAGCATGCATTTTCCCGCTTCTGACGTCATCAAAAGGGACCAAGAGCCTATAAGTTATATCTCGGAGACATCCTAAAGAAATCTAAAACAAGCAGAATATCTTTCAGACTTCTCCAAGATGTCTCTTGAGCACTTATGCTGTATGAAACAAAGGATAACTATACTACGCTTTTGCGTACCGATCCAAGATTCCTCCGTGGAGCCCTCCTGGATGGGAATGGTGCTGTTCGACTCTTGCAGCTGCGGCAAGGCGATGGCGGAGAAGCCGAAGGTCATGCCGGTGTTGATGGTGCCAAGCTGGGCGACCAGTGAGGCCAACACCTGCCTGACGGCGCTACCTCGGAGAGGTCGCGGATCCTCGGGATCATCGTGCGCGCCGCTACCGTTCGCAATTTTCTCGTCATTTGGCAGCGTGGATGGCTGGAATTTTGGAAGTAGCGTCGAGTCCACCAGCGACGTCTTCTCTGGATCTTGCACGCCGCAATTCTTCCTAGAAACGACAAGGAAGCAGTTAAACAACGTGAAACAGAGTAGAGGTGTGCGAATCAAAGATTTTTTATGTCGAATCGATGAAATTTCACCCGAATCGAATCGTTGAAAGAATTTGTAATTAACATAATCATTGAATTCAACATGAAAATAATAACTTCAGTATGAGAGAAATAACATTGATCATGTGATATCAATTCATTTTAAGGTAAGAGATATACACTGAGAAAAATTATATTAAAATCAATAAATATTTCTTTGATGAGTGCCATTAACATATTTACTTAAATCTTATTGTTTACCTAATTTAAATAAACAATATTTGGTTTAAATAAAAAGAATGTAGATTTAAATAAATATGTTAACTCGTCAAGGAAATATTTGTTGATTTTAATATAATTTTTCCCTCAGTAAATAATATATAGTCGATAAACGTATATAGAATACAGTTCAAGCCTTGAAAGCGTAACGACATATATCGATCCGACAGTTGTCAGGAAGGCCCGATCTGTAATAAATGGAATAAGGAGTAGGAGTAGGAGTAAGAGGAAATGGAAATAATTTATTTCGCTTAGGCCTGATCTAATAAAGTAATAAAGTTTGTCCGTCTACATCACATGGAGTAAGTCTGAATTAAATAGTAGGAGCTGGAGTAAGGTAGTAAGCGAAATAATTATTTCCATTTCGTCTTACTCCTACTCCTACTCCTTACTCCATCTATTGTAGATCGGGCCTAAGAGTTAATCTAGAAGCCATTATCTTCTTTTAATATTTTTGAAGAAAATCTTAATGTATAGCAAACTTTTCAAGTCATGCTAATTCCCGTAAGGCTGGATGTCTTTAATAGTACTTCGTTAACGCAAATGTGCGCGACCCGTATTCGAATCTTTTCGATTCAAAATTTCCGAATTATTCAGACTCGAATTTGGGTCGAATCGAATTTCACTTGATTCGATTCGAATAGTTCGCACATCTCTAAAACAGAGTAAACTCGCGACAATTGGGAACACGACAACGCAAAAAAGACAAAGAAAGCAGAATCAGAGCGACGAGCAAAATTCGTGCGATACGCGTTATCGCGCGCACGCGCTCGTAACAATTTAATATTCGCCGAGCGCGAAAGTATAGTCGCCTCGAACGACGTTAATTAGAGATGTTTCGACACGCGGCGACGGTGCCTTGTTTATTGGTTATTGTTGCGCGTCGTCATGAAAATGATAATGAAGGTACGTCGTGTGCGAGTCGCGCGCGACCAACTGGAGTCGTATATTTCCGACAGAATACATTCGTAAGCCGATAAGAGTCGAGTAAATTATACGAAATTTTCATCATTCGACACCCGTCGAAATCTTTCCGAGAACACTGCAATAAATTCCGTCTTTCCCTCTCCTTCAAAAAGAAAGAGAGAGAGAGACGCGTAGACGAACGATATAAATAACTACTCGTCATTATTATTTATCGAGTCGATTAGAACGATAAGAATTATTTTCGTCCCTCGCGAATAATGTGACTAATGCTGAACGCTGCGAAATACAACGTCCGTTCGGAAAATTTTCCGCCCTAATGAGACAAAAGAAGCAAAGGAAAAAAGGGAAGAGGTGATCGATCGTTCGTATCGGCAACGAATTCTCGCCAATGAGCTTTCGCGGTTATCGCGCCGGCGGAGTTGCGAATTTGGCCCTGACTTAAACGATACTAAAATTAAAGGCGACCTCAATTTTTGACAACTCACTGAATCGCCGCACTTGTAGATGCGCGACGAATGCGTCGTCGAGAAGGGAACAATTCGTCCGGTTTAACGAGCTGATAATTCGCGATATCGGAACATCGAGTGATGGACGGCGTAATCTCCCGAAGAAGAAGTGATTCCTGAGAAACTAAAATTAAGATAGCGTCAAAAAGAGTCACAATCACGACAACTTAATGTCGGGAATGTGCACGCAAAAAAAGAAGCTTCCAGAGCTAAAAAATAGCTGTGGCAGATAAGATGTGTCACTGAAATAGGGACAGCTAATGTCGAAGCTAAATTTAATCGCTGTTTAAACTCAGGCGCTACAGCGAGAAATATTAGCTGCTAGAAACAAATGACTGTAGCAAATGATTGTAGCTGTGCAAACTTCCTTAATATATGCATACGATAAGAAATTTAGGAATAACAGCAATTTTCTTAGCTATTTGAAATAATGTGCATTTTTAATGTCACCTAATATATTTGTATTTCACAGCGAATGCATTCATAGCCAATTTTTAGCAGTGACAGCTAAACGATTAGCCTTTTGACTAAGTTTGAATCAGCTACCGCGATTTAGTTGATATTACTAAGTAATTTTTTTGTGTGCATCAAGAGAAAAAATATCTGAGAAGTACTCAATATTCCCACGGGACAATTGTATTTCGATACATTGTCCCGATATTTAGTTTTTGTAAATGCTGACTTCTCGAGACGTTGTCCCATTTGGCGAATTTCTTGCTTAATTCTGATTTTTCATCATACACTGTAAAAAATTTGTGTAAAATTACATCTATTATAGTGGATAATTTTGAGACCAACTATTATATATGTAAATTTACACACGTAATTATCGCATAAAAATATATTTGTATATACGAGAGACACATTTTGATACGTATGTAAATTTACAATTATAATACTTGGTCTCATAATTACATGGAATTTTACACAAATTTTTTACAGTGTACACGCGCGGCGACCTGTCAAGTTGCACGGATAACGCGAAGACACACGGAAAAAAAGGATTTCCTGCAGCAGCAAACTAATTTGCTATATGTGGACAGTTAAACATAATTCGCTGTGTTAGCTATTTTTTCTTTGCTGCAGGAACCTTGCTTGCTGTGATAACAAGAAAATCTGCTTGTACACAGAGAGAACGATTTGGTTGAATCAAATAAACACTTCTTTAGAATAGTCCAAACGAATTTTTTGATTGATCAAACGAAATTTTGTTTGACGCAACAAAAATATTTATTTGCGGCTTAATTCCAAAGAAATATTTTTGTTGTGTCAATTAAATAATTTGTTTGAACTATTCCAAAGAAACATTTATTTGATTTAATAAATCGTTCTCTCTGTGTACAGCAAGACAAGTGGCTAACACAGCAAATTTGCTACAGATGAACAATTAACATAATTTACTGCTTTAGCTACTTTCTTTGTTGCAGATTTTCTTGTTATCTTAGCAAGGAAATTGGTGCCCGCAGCAAAGAAAAAGTGGCTAACACAGCAAATTATGTTTAGTTGTACATATCTTTTTTTTCGTGCACGAAACAAACACGGCGTTAAAGCGTCACCGATGATGAATGATGATACACTTTGTTCTACGGAGAAATCACGTTTTTATCGTCATATCGCCGACAAGATACGCGCGAAGTGCAAATGCGCGATTTACTTCGAGATACGATGTGAGTCGTGCGAGTATCTCGCACAAAAGTCCTGTTGTTGGGGCGAGAATACACCCAAACGTACACGGAGAAAAATAATTTTGCTCCTTTAGCAAAATCGTCGTTGCTACTGCATATTCGTAGTGACAGCAAAAACATTTAGTTGACGTAACTAATTTTACAAATTATTCGTTATCAAAGCAGAAGTAGTTTCGTTGCCAGAATAGAAAAAATTTGTTGAGTGTATTTGTCCTAAGAATCACGTTAATTTGCTATTGATGCAAAATAATGTATCCTTTGCAAATTTATTTGTTATCGAAGCAAAACTGCTTATATAAATAATGGTTCTTATATAAATAATGGTAGCAAGATAATTTGTAGATTTAGCAAATTATAACCAGCAATTAGTGATTAGTACTTTTAGCAAATCTTTTTGCTGTCCATAGAAAATATTTTGCTAGCAGAAAATCTGCTGAGCCAGTAAATTATTTTTCTCCGAAATACGAAATTTCACGAACATTTCATGAAATGAACAAAAAATTTTTTATGCACTGAGAAAAAAATTTACTAAATTTTAAAAAACGTTTGTTTGAATAGTATTGTACAGATATTTGTTTAAATTAAATAATTGTCTTCTAAAATTAAAGAAACAAATTTATATTTAAAACTTCTTTATTTAATTTTAGAAAATAATTACTTAATTTAAACAAATATCTTCACAGTACTATCCAAATAAACGTTTTTTGAAATTTAGTAAATATTTTTCTCAGTGTGGTCAGTCGGTAAATAAAAAATTTCTTGTTAGTTTTGTGCAACCTTTTAGCATCAGCCATTCGTTAACTAAACTATTTGTGAAATTGAGCAAGAAAATCTTTCCACGTTGTTTTATCTTTCCTCTTCCAATCTTTTCCCTTTTTTGCTTTTCAGATAGCACAGAGAATTAAAAAAAAATTTAAAAAGAATTTAGTCGTATTCACCAATTCTGAATTCATTGTCAGGTGCAAAAAGAATTCTTCAGTTCAGTGAAAAGAATTCTTTTTGCATCTAAAAATGTACTTTGTACTTTTATTCTGTAAGAACATTTTTAATTTAATACATCCAATTAGAAGAACAGAGAAAACTACGAAACTGTGTTACTTATGTCGGTATCACGCTTTGAGTATTCAGGTAGGAAAAATTGCGTAGAGATGAGTGCATAGAGATAGCGTGAAAGTGAAAGTGAAACAACGCGTTATGTAGGAAAGCAAGATTCAGAATGGAAAAAGCGCACAGATAAAGACAGCGCAAAGATAAGTAAAGATGTGAAGGAAATTATTGGTAGAGGAAATGTAACAGAGGACACAGAAGTGTACTACAAGGGATAAAAAAGAATAGAATAAATTAGGATAGAACGTATTAGGATAAAGAGAAAATAATCCAGATAGCACAGAGAATGCAAAAAGAATTCAGTCGTATGTTACCAACTCTAAGTTCATTTTTAGATGCAAAAAGAATTATTTTCACTGAACTGAAATCCGAAAAATTCTTTTTGCATCAGACATTCTTCAGAGTTCAGTTCGGTGAAAAGAATTCTTTGTGCATCTGACAATGAATTCAGAATTG